ATTTGGGCATAAGCTTTCGTGGGTAAAAACCTCACTTCTTCGGATGAGGTTTTTACCCACGAAAGCTTATGCCCAAATAAATCTGTTAGTCTTTAAGGTGCCACCAGACTCCTTGTTGTTTTTGTAGATACAGACTAACACGGCTACCCCCTGATACTTAAATTTTATTGTGAGTACAGTTGCAGTTTGTCTAGTGAGTTCTAGAAACACAAAGACCAGTTTTTTTCAATGATTTTGTAAAGTTAGATCTCTAAATCCATATTAAAAATATACCCTTGTTTAACTATAGCTATTGGACTTGAAGCAGGAATTAACTCAGCAAAGTCCTATGGCCTGTGTTATGCAGATGGTCAGACCAGAAGATTACAATGGTCCCTTCTGGCCTTTAAAAGCTATGAATATTAAGCACCTACCTAAGTAGGTTGATATTCAGAGGTGCTGTGCATCTGCTACTTCCGTATAAATTAACGGCAGCCATGGTGCTCAGTACCTCTGCAAGTCACACCACAAATATTAGGAGCTCACGTTTGAAATTTTTGGTCCGTATGTATAACAACTGATACTAGCAGAAATACTACCAGGGCCTGATCATTTTCCCACCGCAGACAATGGCAACAAGATTGGACTGTCATTGCTCACTCTCAACTTTGAGAGAAATGACACTGATCTACTATGCGATGAGAATATTTGATGAAAGTACTAATAAGGAAGCATATTATAAAAATATTATATTATTAAAATGTACACAGGATGGATAGACTAGATATTTAGGTTGCTATGGCGCACGCAATAGTTGAACTACTATTACTGCCTGCTATTTATATAGTGCCTTTCATCTTGAAGGATCCCAAAGTGCTTTATGCTTTACTGTACAAGCAAACTAATACACAAATTATTATAGTCTTGCTCCTCTTCCCATTGAAGCCAATGAGAGGAGAATCAGGCTCTATATACAGGGATCACTCCACACACTATTAAAATACATACATTTAGGACAGGAAGCAAAGAATACTATATCCAATTAAAATCGCAGAGGCCATTTAGATAAGCAGCATGTCATTACTCAAGATATAATTTGGCTAGGACACTGGGATTAACTCCACGATCCTTAAATCTAGTGATAGAGTAAGTTGATCTTTTGGAAGGAAGCCCACCAGTTGAAAACCATTTTGCAGATTAATGTTGTTTTGCTGTTTCATAGCAAGGTTCTCAGATTGTAATCTTGGTCTACAGAAAATATCCGTAATGTAGAATCTTTACATACATTGTCCCCCCCCCCCCCGACTTTGTTTTGAATGATTAATGTTAACGATGATGAACATTCTTTGAAGGATTGTTAGATACATTATGGTTGATTAGATTTTTCAATTACTTCTTTTTGAACATTTCAGTTTGTTTTTTAATTTACTTATGCCAACAATTCAAAAGCATGTCAAACAAGTAAATCCGTCTTTACCATGCTACAAGGCTGCTACTTGCAGCTAAGGTGGTGGTTGTTTTTTTTCCTAGGTATAATATCACATTCATGTATAAAAGTTCTGTAATAATGTGTATGGTTCCATTGGAACATTATATATTATCTCTAGAAGCTCCTTAGGCTAAAGAGGGGGCAGGAGAGGGAGGTTGCTTACACTGTGACTTAATCTTTATCCGCCACTGTACATTTCCCCTGAGCCTCCATCTTTTCATGCCAGACTTAACTACTCCCTTTCAGATATTTCTAACCTCCACTAATTGTTGTATTATATGTGAGCAACATTCTTAGGCCTGGTTAGTCATTTATTCTAAAAAGGCAGCCTTGTAGCGTTGGTTTACTGGGGTTTTGTTGCGTTTTTCACTTCAAGTTAAACAGCAGATGCCACAACACTGCAGAGACAAGGAGCGATAAGTGGCTTAAGGAGATGGTGTTTCTTGAACCCAGGCTTTTGGCATTACAGTTGTTTGAATAACAACAGTGAACGCTCACTCCAGGTGCTTTGGATCCATCCCTTCTTGCCCGTTCACAGAATGATTTGAATGAACAGGACTTCATAACACCACCTACAACAGAGCCACATTTAATCCAAAACGTATCAAGAGGTTCAAGTTTGCCTACTTGTTTCACTGTCTTAGTAACATGAATCTAAACATCCAGTGATCAAACATAATGAAGAGATAAGCATCATAAGAAGCAATCATTCTGATGCTATGGCATTCTTCTAAGTATGAGTTTATAAGCATAAATTAATTAATTCCAACACTTATTTTATCTCATCTACAATACTGCACATCTACATGGTGCATTATTATACAGCATTAATAAGAAGAATTTAATAGCTACCTATATTACTATTTGTCACATTTCTGCTAACCCATACATGATAAGAATTAAGATTTATTACCAGAACTTAAAAAAAAAGAACTTGTTTAACTACTTATATTTTCTCATCATCTCACGACTAGCCTCTTCTACTGAATTGGTAATTTAATTCTCACAGGTATCTCTTGACAGAAATTAATACATTTGATACTTTTTGATTACAATTTTGTAACTACTTACTTGCTTGTCCTCTGATGACTGCACATGCATCTGAGAGCCCTGGACATTGCTGAGTGCCTTGTCTGTTACATTCTTCATCACTAGAACCGGCACAAGTATAACATTGCAGTGCTTCACCTGCCATTAAGAAAAATTACTTTATATAGGTATCGCTCCTGAGCTTCTTAAGATATTTTAAAAGCAACTGTTCAGTTTCTTGGTTTTATTTCTGTCTGAAGCAAACACTGAAAATGGCTAATTTAGTTACACTGAACTTTTAACTTACAGTGTGTCTAAGGATTTTTCAAAATCCAGTTAAGTTTTATTTCTCAGATTTGGATCTCGAGGTTGCTTTTAAAGGCATACAATCCATACATTGCTTTGGTTTTGGTATTTTGCACGTAATAAGACATCTAAGATTATTTAACGTACTGTAATTGGCATCACACCTTTTTGTACAGTTAGGAAACGAATTCCACTAAAACTAACCGAAAGTATAACATGTATTTTTTTCATTGCTGTCTTCTTCAGTTTACAGTACTGTGAATAGAATACACTACCCAGATCTATACACCTACCTGTCACTATGATACCAGGGCTAATTTTCTCCCAAAGTATCCATTCATTTGAAATATTAAGACTCATTCCTCCCAGTGCTGATCCATAGTATAAACTGTACGGTAGTTTTAAAGGTAAGCATGAATTTGATAAGCACTTTAAACAACTGAATTAAAACTTGCAAAAACAAGAAGGTGCTCTCGCTGTCCACTGGGAAACATGCATTAAAAATCTATTAGTATAAAGATTGTATTTTACAAGAATTGTGTTAGATAAAATTCTGCTCTGTTATCCACATAAACAAACTAATTTTATAGCACACAAAACCAATGGAAAACCAAGACTGGAAAAGATTAATGACAAAGATGCTGCACTCTTTGCATGTGTCTGATATCAGAGACCATAAACAGAATTGACTGAAATTACTTACTTTTGATTACAAAAAGCAAGCTGAGAAGAACCAGGCTGAAGATTGTCTTCATCATGGATATCCAAGAGATGTACCATTAGACAAAGAAAGCAGTTTGTCTGTCATTAAAGTCCTAATGCTTGTCTTACATACCTAATCCTCTGTAGAGGATGACTTAGAGGATGAAGAGGTGTGCAGAATGCTACTTATCTAGCTTATTCTGGTTATACTTCTAACCAGATGTACTTGTCCATTTCCATAGGGCAAATTCTTAAAGTAATATCAGGAAGAAAATGTATTCACTACTTACCCTAAATATACTTAAGAGAAGCCATCTCATAAAAATGGATCCTGCAACGTTACTCATATGAGTAGTCCCATTACACACCTGTGAAGGTGCTTTGCTGGGTCAGGATCGGAGTGCTCAGCACCTTGTAGGATTACGGCCATGTGAACATGTCTATCGGGCTCAAATCTGCAAATACTTATGTACCTGAGTAACTTTACTCTTGTGAGCAGTCCCATTAAATACAATGGCACTGCTCATGTGAGTAAAGTTACTCATATGTGTATTACTTGAGCAGAAATGGCATTTCCCCTTACCACGTTTCTGGCATTACATGTAGAGAAAGCACCAAGTAAATAAAATCATGCTTATTTTCAAGTTTCAACGAAAAAATTTATTTACAATAGAGAATTTTATTTGAGACATGCATTTTTTTTCATTTTTCATTTTATTTTACAAATCAGCAAATGCAGATCAAGTTTACACTCCTTAAGGCAAGAGTCCCCATGCAAGTAATACATGTTTATATTAAATCCAAAAGACATCCAATATGGGAACTCATGTACGAAGGGAAGGCTAGGATAAGCAACTTGTAATTTATTAGAGAACTTGACCATCTCCCTGATACAGGAACTTTGAGATCAACTTGCTATGAAATATACTATGAAAATGCAAACGATAGCAAGAAATTCTGATAGTCATCTTAGTACTGCATACAATTAAATCAACTTTATTTAGAAAGAAAATACAGTAGTGCATACGAAAAAGTGAAAATACAACCTGTCCACATCAATATATGGACATCAGTGTGCCAATGGTCATATTGCACTCAATATTGAAGTCCAGAAATTTGGTTAAAAGTTAGCTTTTCCCCATTTTGGCAATCAGTTCATCACAAATCTTCGTTAATTCTTCTATCTCTTTATTCTAAAAAACAAACAAAACAAATTGATAGTGCAAAAATATCTTTTAAAATATAAACATTTCAACAAATATAAACATAAGGCATCTTTTGCATTTATTATGTGATTTTAGGAAAAAATCTTTTTCACCACAAATAACAAAAGAAAGATAGAAATGGATAGTACTGCAATCAGTGCAGCAGTGTCAATTAGCGGGTCTGGTGAAGACATGCTGAATCGATGGGAGAATGCTCTCACATCGATTTGTATACTCCAGCTCCCTGAGAAGCGTAAGGGAAGTCCTCGGGAAAGTGTCTCCCGTCGACACAGCGCAGTGAAGATACTGCAGTAAATGGATCTTACTACGTCGACTTCAGTTACGTTATTCATGTCTCTGAAGTAGCGTAACATAGATTGATTTACTGTGGTAGTGTAGACCAGCCTTCGGCCTCTGTTACCTCCCCATCCCCATATGGTCTGGCAACACTGCCAAAGCACGGTTCTTCTCTGAAAAGTAGCTAGGGGTCCTAGCTGACAGACAGCTAATAACTGTGACGCTCCTAGTTCTGTAAATCCCAATAAATATGCGTGACTTAAAAAAAAAGATAAAAGCTGGCGCAAGTACATGATTTAAAAACCAAGGAAATGACAAACAAATAAAAGAATCAACATTCTAAAAATTAACCACAATTCCTGTGCACTAAAAAACCTTTCAGTGAAACGGAAACAGATATAGCTTAATCAAAGACGAACAGGAAAATACACAATTTGTAAGTCAGCATATAATACAAGGCATGCATGTATGATACACACAATTTTCTTTCTCTGATTTAGCCTGCAAATGATCATCATCATCATCATGATGGGATCATTCTGTGATTCTAAATTTGGTCAGACAGGTTAACTGCATTACTTTAGAGCAACTGATGCTGGCAAACTGCCTCACTGTAACTGAGTTTTACTACAGAAATGCTTAAATTACCTTTTGTTCCAGTGTTCTTTCCAATGCATCCACTTTCAGCTGCTCTTTACGGAGACTGGCCTGATACGCTGCTTGTTCTTGTTGAGCCTTGCCTCGGACTTGTGCAATTTCAGCATTGGCTCTACAGAAATACAGGGTGCTCTGGTGAATGTTAATTCTTGCAAAGGAGAGGACTAAGGCTAACAACAGCTAAAATAGATGTGGCGGATGAATGTGGATGGGCCGTTGCTGGGCCCCACTTTGAATGTGCCCTTGAAACTTTACAGCCACCTTTCACTGAGATAATAAGATATTTCTGTCTCATTACTCCGGGCCTCCCTTGAATAGAGACTGTGAAGCTCTTTTTATCAACTGTTTCATCCTGAGTTAACTGTTCTAATGCCACAAAACTGATTTCACTTGAAGCTCTTTATAAGCCTCTGACCATGACCACCTCTGATTTCCATGGACTAGACGAAGCTGGGAGAGCATTGGAGAAGTGAACCCAAATGTCACTCCATTTTTAACACAGGTCAATTTGGGTGTTAACATTTTGGAAATATCTCTTGTGTGTCTTAGTTCAGATAATTATCATAAGACTTAAACATAAGTGGGCACTAGCCACTTGGCTACACTTGCGAGTTACAGTGCATTAAAGGAGCCCCGGGTGCCCTAGCTCACTACCCGTCCGCACTGGCCAGGCACGTAAAGCGCTCTGACTCCACGGCTAGAGCGCTCCTGGTACTCCACCTCAGCGAGTAGAATAACGTTTGATGCGCCCCCGCTGGAGTGCCCCGGCGTTAGTGTGAATGAGGTGTTGCATCACTGCGCTCTGATCAGCCTCCGGAAACGTCCCATAATCCCCTTAAGTCAAGTGGCCATTCTTGTCATTGTTTTGAATATGCCCTTTGAAAGCTCTGTTTGACAGCCGGCATGCTTATCTGCTCCGAGACAAAGCAAAGCATACTGTGGAATGCTGGGGGGGAGGGGAGGCAGGTCTGCTGCTGTCTGAATTGACAAGACAGCATGCTGACATGCTCTCAGCCCCCCCAAAACCCCACTCTCTCTCCCCTGACATACACACAACACACTCCCTGTCACACTCACCCCACCCCCCTCATTTGAAAAGCACGTTGCAGCCACTTGCATGCTGGGATAGCTCCTACAATGCACTGCTCTCTGTGGTCGTTGCAAGAGCTGCTAATGTGGCCACGCCAGTGCGCTGTCAGCTGTCAGTGTGGACAGACTACAGCGCTTTCCCTACTGCGCTCTATGAAGGCTGGTTTAACTCAAAGCGCTCTACATCTGCAAGTGTAGCCATGCCCTTACTTGATCTTACCAAACTAGCAAAGAAACCCCCTGAAGCTGTCTGTCTTAGGAGGAGGCCCTTCATGTAGTCCATTTCATAGAGTACCACTGTAGTTTACCAACTAGTTTTGCCTTGTTCTCGGTGATCAGTTAGTATAGTGTTGGTGATTAGTGCTCACTTGTGGCCATGGATTTGCCCCCCTCCCCACAGAAAAAAAAAATAAAGAAAAGCTATTGGTGATTTATTAGCCCAGGCCCTCCCCATCTCAGATGAACATGTACTCAGTAAGGTAAAATATAGGCATACAGTGCTGCAAGTCATAAAATATTAGGCCTGTCTATTGAGGATGTTCCTATAATCTAAACACCTGAAAAGGTAAACACTCAAGCAATTACCTGTCCAGTTTTTCTTCAGCATGAACTTTGAGTGCTTGGTACCTCTGCTCCTCTTTCTTTACTCGTGATAAATACTCCTGGGCACATTTCTTTAACACTTCTTCATTCTTAAATGAGCAGATTGAAGTGTCAATGGCATATCAGTAAACAAGGTGACAGTTTTCAGTCTGTGCTGGTGAAATTACAGGATTTAAACTCCTGTAGCAATATATTGCTACACACACACACACACGTCATCTGAGGCAATATTTTATGAGCCAAAATGTTACAATACTGCACTTCGTATGTTGTACTTGAGTGAAATTATTTGTTTTACAGGTTTGGGACCCCCACTGCCCTAAGCCCTATACAAACTTATAAGAAGACATGGTCCTCAATCAGAAGAACTTATAGGTGGAATGCCAACAATGCTAGCTATGTGTGAGCCGTCTCTTAATAAATAGATAATTCAAATCACCATGAACACAATATATAGTGCAGTTGCTGTGTAGCATATACAAAGTTGTTCTTCAATAATACTCTAATACTTCTGGAGCTATTCCCTCATAATCAAGCATAAACACATACATACATCTCCCCGCCCCCCGCATTACAATCTAATGTCAATTTGTAACTTGGACAAAAGACGCAAAACAATGACCGTAGCTAAAAGTAAGTAATATTTGTATATACCTACAAGAGAGTTTCTTTAGTTTTTTGGAAGGAGGAGAGTTTAAACTGCACTATCTTTAACTTTGACTTACTTTCCGAAATCCCTCCAGAACCTCTTTCATTTTTTCGTATCTCCTAAAAAGGTCTGCCAGTGATTTCTCCACAGAGTTCAGGTCTGCCAAAGCTTGTTCCTTCTCCACTATTAGCTGCTGGACAGTATGATGGGAGACAGATTTCTCTCTCTGTTCATCCTCTGTAAAAAAGCAAGAGTATAGAATGGGTTATGTTAAGAACACTGAATGACTATCACCTGTAGCTTTTATGATACTCTGCTGTATAGCTTGTATTAATAGTGAACTGTTTGTATTGGATCCAGAAAAGGCATTATACAGAGGCATAATCCTATGCTCAGTATAATTTCTCTAGTTATAGTAGATTTTATTTTTTGATGTGAGAAACAAATGTGATCATATCTTGACACTGATGATTTATATAACTTTGAACTCAGTTCACATTAAAGAAAGAGAGGTTGGATTCTCCCTTTTTGCACCAAAGAGGAGCTAACCGTAAGTAAGTTAAATTTCTGCACGATATTGATATGTGGCATACATTTTTTGTAATGCTCAATCTCAATGCCTCCTGGCATAGTGATTAATCCAATACAAACTGCTGGCTTTATTTAATTACTCTTGAGAAATTAGGCCTTCAGTTTATGTAGAATTGAGATATGATTTTGCTGTGTATTGTAGGCCAATGCAAGTCAGGAAACTTGGCACCAGATTTATATTTTCTAAGTTCAGCTCTATGATAAACATAGGAGTCAAGTACAACAGCATCTTTTTTGATCTTCTCATCTCTGTAACTTCAAAACCAGGAATGAAGTCAGGGAAGAGCCTGATTCTATACAAAATATTCCACCACTCTTTTCTCCAGGTGATGACTCAAGAGATAAACTGGCACCTCTTCGCAAATATAGAAAGGAAGCTCTGATATTCTGTTTATTAAAATGCTTCACTTTTCATACCACAAGCTACGATTCCAACGTTCCATATTTCAAAGTCCATTATGAATAGTTACACATTGTAAAGAAAACACAACTGTGAAAGATAATTTTATACTGTTTTCTTAAATCTGTTATGGAAGTTTAGATGAGGTACCAAGTTCTCTTGCAACTTTCCAACGTGTTTTTTACACAAACCATTTAGCCCTATTGTGTTCTCAGATATGGAACAGAATTCAATTTTTAATTTAAATTGAGGCTGTAGTTTGAAATTAACTTTTTGAAGTGCAGTTCAACTCGGAAACGTGACGACATAGAAATGGCACTCTCATACTCGGATCATCTGCTCCTCCTGGGTATTCAGAGGTTTCTACTGCTTATTTTGTTAGCCCTGCTGAGCCAATGCAGTTGAGAGAAAATGAGCTGGTTTTCCATCTTGTCCATCAACTGAAAATGGTTTTCAAAGTTCCAATCAGTACATTTGTGCAAACTCACTGACAGCACTGGCATTAAACAAGTGTGGCTGAGGGCATAATTTGGCCTGCAAACTTTTTTTTATTACGGGTGATGTATGAGATGCAAAACCAGAGTGGTTCTCATGGTGAGTGAGCTAGCGTGGGAACTAAAATAACATTCTTTCACTTGTAAACTGTACACATCTGATAAGGAGAAACCATTGAGAAACACTAAACTCCACAATACCATGTCACTTTTCAGAGTTTCCCTTTAATAATATTTTAGAAAACACTGTTAAGAAATTCTAAGTACTTGTTTCAACTGTGATCTCTAAAAGAAATGCTGTGAATATCTATAGACACAAGGGAATAAAGGGAGAACCATTTCCATTTTTCATCCCTCATTTATCTTCCTAGTCTTCTCAGGGGTCTTCTGCTGAAGTCCCATCATAATGATAGTTTTTATTTCTGTTTTGTTTTTTTAAGGATCACATGCCACTTAAGGCCCTGATCCTGAAACAGATCTGCAGGTACAGGGCCATTTTCCTGCACCAAATCTCACCTCCTTATGATTCCATGCGGGAATAAGTTTCCATATGTGTGGGACTGTTTGCAGGATCGAACCCTTAATGTACACTCAAGAAAACAAAATTTTGCCTTTTTCAGTGTCAGCAATTACACTAATCCCTATGATATTTCAGTGACTTCCTTCTCCTTCTGTTTCTAGGGCAATCTGCACTGTAAAGAATTCACCACACCCGGTGACACACCTCTTCACATTCATAAAGGAAGCTCCTTTCCCTCCACCTCCTTGAATCTTGACAACCTTCCCTATATCAAGAAGGGCTGGACCAGCTCCCACCAAAGCTGATCACCACTCCCCCCCCTCCCCCCTTTAGTTGGCCAGTGGAGATTAGAAGAGAGTGACATTTGGTGTTCACTTCATCTCCCTCATGACTTGCATGCTGTCCCTGTCATGCCTTCATGCCAACATCTGGCCAGGTCCCAAACTTAGATCCCAAAGAAGGAGAGGAATTATTTAGGTGGTACAAGGCAGTACTGGATAAAATTATAAGGAAAATGTAAACTATCGGGACAAAGCTTCCTGACCACGAGCTCTAGGAAACTTAAGAACAGTGTCCTAAGGGGAATGTTGAAAGCCCCATTGCTTGAGACATTTTAAACAGTGTTGGACAAAGTGTGAATATACACTGTGGAAACTAATCCAGCATTGCCTGGGGTGAGATTGGAAGACCTAATAGATATTTTCTATCACTTAACTTCAGTGACTTCCCTGCTCAGTAGTACTGTGCAGCTAATAAATTGCCAGCAAAATCCTAGTTAGACAATTACAAATATTTATAGACAAGCTTATATAATTCCTTAATTAAAATGGCTTCCACATCACTTGAACATACTGTCCACAATTCACAAATAAGAAAATCCTCCTTTATACTTAAAAATGATATTTTTATTGAAAGAACCAGAGAAAAACAGATACTAGCAAAAGAAAGATATTACCCAATATCTTTCAAACCTATTTTCAATCTCAGTTAATATTTGCATTATTTAATGGGGATGAGGCAAATACAAAAAAAAAAAAAAAAAAAAAAAAAAAAAAAAGCAATATGTCAAAGTTGGTGAAAAGCATTACTTACCAGGTTTGCCTGTTTATTTGTTTTGCAAGCAAATAGCAAGAAGCAAAAAAAATGGAAGCAAAATAGAAAATCAGGGAATTTGTTAGGAAAGCAGAAATAAATTAATGCTCAACAACCTGTAATGCAGAAAGCATAACATTCTTTTCTTTTTATAATGAGATTTTAAAAAAACATCTTTTAACTTTGAAATATATGAATATGTTTTTGGAGAGAAAAATTACAAATACATTTCCATTGCAATGGTGAAAAGGAACCACAAAATGGACCTTTCGGGAAAAAAATATAGATGAATATGATGCTCACGAAAGCAAAGGACCATTGGTGAAATGCATCCTTCTACAAAGGGCCAGGACAAGTTACCACATAAGTATTGCCGAGTGGTGAATTTTATAATGGAGAATTGACTTGAGCCCAACACAGTGAAAACAAGGGCAGTGTAAGCTTTCTTACACAGTTCAGCTGATGCACCCCCATTCCTGATCTGCAACACTATTACTAGTCCACTCTATGAGCCTCTCATGAACAGAGCATGCTAAGAGTGTGTGTATGTGTGTGTGCGTGCACGCGCATGTGTACAAACATGCAATAGATGCTGAGGCAAACTGGAATTAATTTAATGAAAAAGGAAGCAAAGACATAAATGCAAAAAGCACTAGTTGGGTATGGAGCTATGTATTGACAGCTACAGTGCTCTCACCCACACAATACAGATGACAGAATGGAACTTCTTGGATGAGTTAAATAGAGCAATATTTGTCCCTACATGTATAAACTAGCAAATTTAGGATCTGCTCCCGTTGATGTCAATGGTAAAATCCCCATTAATGAGTTATATATAGAGACAAGGCATTCTAGAAAAGCTCTATTAGGACCTATTGACCTAATTGAATATTCCTTCAAAGGGATTAGAGAAATAGGTTCAGTTGTAATTAAGTCGACTTCTAGTAGATGGCTTTCTAAAGAGATCAGAAGGGTTCAGTCATAAATAGAAACAATTCAGGTGAGTGTACTCATGTTGAAGTACACTATTTTCCTTATTTTGTTTTATCATTAAGGCAGCATTGCTTGCAACAACAATGCACACCTGGCTTTTCACGAGTACAGGTATAGTATATTGCCAATCAGCTTTTTTCTACACGCTAAATGACCCTATTCCTTATTCAATTAAGTGAGCTCATCTTTATCCAAAATTAATAACATAATTTAGAGCCATGCTTCTAAATACCTGCTACAGATCCTGTTTTGACACAATTAGACACCATTTAACAAGCATCATCAACTTGTATGAATTCGAAGTATAAGGATCTTACTGTTTGCTCTGTGATCAGAGACCAGAAATTTTAATTATTCTTCATTTGTTGGAAATAATGATAAAGAAAACAGCTGCAGTTCCTTAGAATTTACTCCACGGTGACACTATTTCACTGACAGCAATTTGCATTCACCAAACATGACATGATATAAAATTGATAGTGTGTCAGTGAAAGGAGCTCAGGCCTCCTAGTCATGGGTGCCTTAACAGGCTAGTTATAAAATAAATAGATAGGAGCAGCTTTGACTGAGATGTACAGCTATTAAATTATATTTTATTTATAAATTTCGAACACTGAATGCTCACCTTCAGGCAAAGGCTAAACGTGCTAACAACATAGTAAGCTGCAATCTGAAAAATTGTGTGTGCAGTTTAAAGTAAGTCATCTGTAATGGACACCCATTTGCTACTACCTACAGCGTCCCTTTTCTATAAAATTCCTGTGCTGTACATTCTTGCATCATTAATTTATATAATAATAATTAATAATAATAATTATTATTATTATTACCACCATGCTGCTAGGAGCCATAGTCACAGACCAAGGTCCCTTTGTACAGCTCCAAGCACTAACTGAACAAAAATTATGTCACACTGAAATTACTGTGTATGTGGAAATAAGTAGTCCCCTCCAACAGGTAGAAAATAAAGTGCTCTAAATAGCTTAAAAGTAGAACTTGAAATATTAGTCACTGAAAAAGAATATTTTGATGGTTAACTATTCAAACTGGCTTGGAAGAAAAGGACAGCTGTAGTATCTGACCAAATGTATGGCCAGGTGAGATTGAAGAACTTCCTAAGTTCCTGTTGTGGCAGTTCATTTCTGTGTGGAGGCTCAATACAGACTTAAGTACTGGAACGTAAAAAATTGGAATATATCCTCAGTCTCCCTGGCTATGTGCTGCAAAACCCTAAAAAGAAGACCTATCTGGGATACTGGATGAAAACATTTGACACAGGGAAAAGCCAACTCAGTCCTGGGATCTATGACTCTTGGACATGAAACATAGGAAGCAATTTCAGATTGTATAAGAAATCAGCAAAGTCACATTCGGAAGACTCTAGGGTCTGATTCTCCACAGCACTGAGCCAGTTTTATGCTGTTGCATCTCTACCAACTTCACTGGAGACACACCAGCATAAATCTAGTGTAAAATAGTGGAGAATTCAGCCCAATGTGTTTTCTGCTATTATAAAATGTGCATTACAAATGGCAGGGCACCAAGTAAAGACAATCCAAATTAAATGGGGATTTAAAGCTCTTAAATTCGAAAGGGTAAGAGAAGTTAGGTCAGCATTCCCTGAAGAGGAGTTTAAGATCTTATTCTGAAGTCACTTATGCAATGCTTATTTACATTTTTCACATGAATGGCGAGAGACGCACAATGCTGCAGTGAATGAAATCAGTGATCTGCAGGGGAGGGAATGTATCTCCCTAAGGTTCTACTATTTACATGAAAAGAAGTTGAGATCTCTCGGTGCAAAAATAGTCAAATTATTAATCATTATTATTATTGTTGTTATTTTGCTTTGGGCAAAAACAAGCAAGTCTGTTATAATTCACTGGTTTAAATGAAATATGTTTAACTCATGTTCTGAGCTTCTTACTCACTTACTCCTTCCACAACATCCAGCCCATAGATCTATGCAGTATATGTGGGGAAGTGCCAACATTATGAACATATTACTCTAATTTTAGCGATATTAATGTAGAAGAAATGATAACAATAATCAAAACATTTGGTGTCATGCAGTACGATACATAAAAAATGGAAAGTGCCAGTTTCAACAGAGGGTAATGCAATGACATTTATAAGTGTCAATGATAATACTCCAGTAGATGTTATGAAAACCTTTCTCATTATCAGTCTATTTGTAAGATAGAGGCACATACACATTACATGCCACACATATAGAGCTTTACTGGGTACTTCCCATGACCATTCTCTGCTATAAATAATGTTATATTGTAAAGAACAGCAGAAATCCTCTGAGCACATTACAATACAACCGCTTTCCCCTCTCTTTGATGAAGTCATTAGTCTGAGCTGACCTCCCTTCTGAAGCTCACATTCCAAAAGAAATAGATATAAGTTTATCTCTGATTGGCCTACCTTTCCTGGCCCTCGGAGACAAAGCTCCAAATGAAGCATCCTGCTGGACACAACACTAGCCACTCTGCCCCGCCTCGCAAGCTGAGAACCTTCTATAACAAGAAAGCCAGAATCTGAAGATAATAAGGGTTAGGAGGTCCTCCAAAGAAGGCTTTTTAAAACAGGGCCTTTTGAGCTAGGCCTAAAATGCCAGCAGAGTCCAGGAGTCTTGCAATTTCTGTTTTTGAGAAACTTTGTAAGTAATCTTTTATTTGCAAGACATTTTGTGAACAGATATTTCCCAGCTTTTCTAGGGGTAGATCCTCTCATAATTTATATTTCAAAAGCCCCTTAACTTCAGTAAGTCACTCAGGGTTTGGCCCCTAGTGATCTCTGATCTGGGAGTGGAGTTAATTCATGTTTTTGCTGGGATAAATGTACCTACAAAAAATGGCCTCTGCTGGTGTGAAGAACCAAGTTTTGGTGCTGGTAGTTAAGAAAAAAGTTGTGTGTGTCTGATAAGAGTAAGTTAAATGACACAAATGCCTTTCTGCGAGAGATATTCTTGAATCTCAGCCAAAATAGTTGTGCATTCTGGACATGTTTTCTATGGAATAGCTTGCTTTTGGTGAGAAATCTGGGACAATCTTGAACGCTTCCGATTATAGTTTCTGCTTAAACTAGCAGCACATAATTCTGCCCTCAGGGTACGTCTACACTACGAGATTAATTCGAATTTAGATAATTCGAATTTGGGAAACAGATTGTATAAATTCGATTGTGCGCGGCCACACTGAGCACATTAATTCGGTTTTTAACCACATTAATTCGGTGGTGTGCGGCCACACTACACCATTAATTTTAACCACATTAATTCGGTGGTGTGCGGCCACACTACCCCTAATTCGAATTTACAAAATCGATTTTGGTGCTACTCCGCTCGTCGGGGTGGAGTACAGAAATCGATTTTAAGTGCCCTTTAATTCGAAGTAACTGGATCCGTTGTGTGGACGGGTTAAGGATTAATTCGGATTAACGCAGCTAAATCCGAATTAAAGTCGTAGTGTAGACCAGGCCTCAGATGTATACACAATTTCCATGAATGTCAATAGGAGTTCAATGGGTGTATCCAAGGTCAGAATTAGGCCTCCAGCCATAAACATATTTCTGTGCTCTCTTCAGAGTCTACAAAAGCATATTCCATAGCAGTAACACCTACCTATCATCTGAGCAATCGTCTTCTCATATTCTGAAACTATTTTCCTATAAAAGAAATGAAAAGAAAAGCTGTGTTTGCAAATGTTATAGTTGCTAATTGCTTACTTGAATAACAAGGCTATTAAATAGCTGCACTTATATCATGGCAAAATGCAATACAGATCCACTTCACGCACACTTAGAAGCCATATAATCTCTTGTACTATTTTGTTTGAGGCTCTTGCATTATTATTGACTCTATGAAACAAAAATAACCGAGCAATAAATTCAATACAACCAAGCAGTTCAAATGCTGATTCTAATTTTTTAATTTGCCATTTGAATATAAAAGGAAGAGAGGAGAATTTGATTTTGTATAGCATCTTCTATTCACAATAATCCTAAAGTACTTTACCAACCATGAATTATATCAAGGTCATATTTTCATTTAGGATCTGGAACCATGGGCAGTTTGATTAATGTCGGGGGGGGGGGGGGGGGGGAGGAAGGGAAACGGGACACAATTTTCTTCCTTTTTTTCCTCTCTCTCTTTTGATTGGCTTGTGTTTATTTTTACTTTAAACTTCACAGGAAAGTTAGGTTGGTTAGGAAAAAGTTGAGAGGCCATCATTTTAAAGATAGCTACCCAATCCTACGCACGTCAAATACAAAGTAAGGGACATTCATTCAGTTCTTAAGACTGAAAAAAATCTCACAAAATAGTCAATCATGCAGCACATGATTGCCCTAATTTTGTGCAATTTCTGTAAAACGATCAGCAAAATGATACTTTTATGCTTAGTCCATATTTTAAATAATACAGTCACATCCTGCTTTGAATTTTCTTCTTGAAAAGAGGTTAACCAAAATAAGCAGATTAAAAGTGATTTGAAAAGCTGATCCATTCTTTCCCAAAGCCAAATCAAGCTAATGAAATGAGACTAGCCATCGCTGTTCTTTGAATGATGAGCCACATATGACTGTCTATCAAAACAAAATAACCATGTGCTTAGTTCACCTGAAATGCGTATTCAAAATATCCCTTTTACATTTTTTTGTTTGTGTTCTGTAAAGTCGATTTTAATTGCTGCATTTTGGGAAAGTGTATTGCAAATAGGGTTGTGTTCTGGGGTGGGAGAAAGCTCAAGTCCAGAAGTTGATAACAAATGGGGAAGTGATGGGATAACCCCCCAAAATACAAATGAGTTATTTATAACCTCTCCATCTAAACAAAAACAAAGTGAAACCCAAGTTAAAAGTGACTCCAGCAATTAATGTAAAGTCCACCCTTAATGAACACTGTACTTAGTCTCATTGGCCCAATGTTGCCCCTATTAGCCCCAGTCCTGTCGAGGGGTCAGAAAAGCATGACCCTTACTCAGCTGGGAAGTCATGTTGACCTCAGTGAGACTCCACATTCAAATAATGATCCAGGTTTGTAGAGCTCTTTGCAGGACTGGAACCAGGAAATGCACTGTCACGTGCTGTGCTATTTGTGGAAAAGTAGGGCAGAGCTTTGGCAAGAACTGCACAGCTCTGTAGCATCCACCTGGGGATTTGCTCAGAGTTGCTGAGGCTGCTCTCAAAGCATGAATTTTGCTGTAAAAAGGCAATTTAAATTCAAAAACAAAGTTAGCTGTAGGGATTTTCCGTTGAAAGGAAGGGCTCTATAAGCATCCACAGAAGAGTTCAATAGCTACAGTAGGAAAAATTTTAGAGACACATCATGTCTTTAACAGCTCTGTTTATCCTAGGAAGTTACATGGTGTTAGAACAGGAACCTGAGGAGTTATGGCATCAAACTTGTTGTTAAACACTATGTGCTAACACAATGTAATTTCCCAGTCTAGACTAGCCCATACAAGTTAGAAATAGAAAGACAGGAGACCATCCTGTCCATTTCTTTGCCACTGTAGGACTGTTTGCTACAGAAAATGTTCTAGTGTTTTGCCCTGTCTAGATTTAAAAGTTCAAGGTGAACCTTGTGAGACTATTTCACGACCTCAGAAGATCTAACGTCAAAAAAACATTTTCCTAATATTCAGTCCACATTTTGCAGTACACAATTAGCTCTCCAATTCTATCCACTATTATGTTATTATCCTTGATCCAGGCATACAACCCTCCTTGATAGCAGCAGGAGTTGTACATATAGATCAGGATTTGAAATGACCCTTACATTTTTGCTTTAAAATGCTTGTTTAAGCAATGTCTTTGCAAGAAAAGTTTTTAAGAACCCCCCTCCTCCCTCCTGTAAAGCCTCAGATGTGGTTGTGGTAGTTTGCTCCTTAGAGGAGTGACTAAAAAAATAGGCCTGAAATAGGGCTCTTATTTACAAGATAAACATTTAAAAATACATGAAAAAAATTAAAAACCTTAAAGACCCTCTATAATATCTGTTATCAGGTTTCTTTTCCTATTAATCATATTCTCAGGCCCAGTTTGGTGAGACAGACCAGCTCATCCTGTGTCTCACTTGGTCTTGTACAACCTATTTATGCAATGATACCAATAATAAGGAAAACAATCATTTGGTACACATCTGGTACCAAGACCAAAATTTCAGCAAAGGGGAAAAACAATACTGATCCTTTGAGCAATACCACTCAATATATCAAAATACAGTGTCTTTCAGAGAGAAGCTACAGTTCACCATCACCCTTTGGAATGGTAGAAATAGACCCAAAAAACAAAATCAAGCTGATCTTCCTTCTATGTACAACTTTAAAATGACCTCAAGAGTTGGGTGAATACTGCCAAAAACTTCTTTGCCAATAGTCACTTGGATGTGTAAATGAATCTGCTTTGCCTGTACTGTTCGTGCTCTTTTTGTGTTCACCTTCTGCAAACATTCATGCAATTGAATTTTACTGGCACAAATGTTATTAAATTTACCGGTGTGAATATTCCTACAAAAAGTGCAGGTGCATACATTCAGCCAGAGAACAGAAACAATACCATGTTATCTATCTGACTAATGACAACTAAACAACATAGCCTGAATAGGGGAAAGTTTACCCCTGGGCAGAGAACCAGCCTAAGATCAAATGCACCAACTCCTCTTAACTCTCACTATTTTGAGAATTTTATGCGGTTAAAGTGGTGATTTGGCCTTATGTTTATCTGAACAGTGGTAAATTTCACCAGTAGTGAATAGCAAAAACTAGCAGAAAATGATTTAGGATCAATCCAAAGTGTGTAGTCCAGAAAAAATACTGAAAAATTTCTAATAACTAGTACATTTGTGCAAATCCCAGTTTGTTTGTGGATATTCATAAGCAGAAAGATTAAATTAATCTTATCAATGACTGCCTCACCTCATCTCCATCACTTCCCTTCGGCTTTCTTCATATTTGTCTTTCCACTCAGATACTTCTCTTTCTTTGGCCACAGTCTATACAGAGGAAGGGAAACAGGTTGTAAGAAAATTAGGTAAATCCAAGGAATTCATTAAGACAGCTAGGTAGCTAGATACTAGAACTAAATTATATTTTAATGGGTTATACAACTGCTTTTTAAATTTAATATTCAATGCTGATACTAGAGAAAGGCCTGCGCTGCAGATTTCATATCTAGATTTGGATCCAAATCTATACACTCCCAAGGAATTTTTCCATTTCAAAACATAAGGCCTGCATTCAGACTTGTGTATGTGGAACCCAACTCAAACTTCCCCAAACTCTTTTGAGAGGTGGTAAATCCTGTGTTTAAATTTATGCTCCTCCCTAATTACACGTAGATACTTTTACAGAGCTATTCTATTCCTCTGTAGAAGGAGTGCCCTTATATCGGATTCCACAAGGGACCAAATCTTTAAATTCTTGAGTAATGCTTCAGGATCTGTCCTGAAGAAACGTTCTACTCTCGTGCATGTATGTCTGAACTGAGTAACCATGGAATCATAATATCCATAACCTACATTCTTCCTTGTCCCTCCCCCTCCTGGTATATGTTATATCCACACAGTCTGTGCTTTTCTAACATTAGATTGTATCATCTTTTCAGGCAGGGACCAGTCTTTCATATTTTATGTGAAGCACCATGAGGCACTATAAAATAATAAAAAGTAGAAGCCTTATAACATTTGTTTTAAAAAGATAAACCAATATTCCATTGCTCAAGTTGTATAGGTAACTGCACAGTGTTATGTAAAATAAATAATACACATTTCCATATACTGGGTCTGATTCTCATCTACACCAAGCAAATAAAACCTACTTCCATTTTAAGTCCCTTTTACACTGCCAGAGCAGTGTAAAGGGGCCTTACTGTATATAAGAACCAGGCCCACAGTTTTCAATACAGACTATGTCTAGTTCAGGTGAATTGCTTTTGAGAAAACTAGGAAGAAGTAAACTACCAACAGAAGAAACTTCTTATTTCCAGAGACTATAAAAAGTTACCTCCTGTCTGGCAATTCGTAGTGCAGAATCCAAATCTTCTTGCTGGTAGAGCAGATCTGTGGTATTTTCTGCCTCAGAAGTGCTGATTCGGGAGTACAGAGTACTTTTAGAGATGGAAACATCTGCTGGGATAGCAGGCTCTTTCTGTATTTAAAAAAAGAAAAAGAAATTTACCATTGATTATGGATTTACTAATAGTTCAGCTGGCCTTTTAATGGGAAAAATGAAACAATGAGGAAATGTGACCTTACAATGAATGGAAAACATTAGAGTGCCAATCTGTTAATATTTACCACTTCGTTCTTATACAGAAAACAATAAAGATAATGCTGGGAAATCTAAAATTTTGAAGCCATGAGTTAGACCTTCTCAAAACTATTCTATACCTGAAAAAAATGAAATATCCAACAATAAGAACATCTGAATGAAGAAAACAAGAAAAAACTAGAAGCAGTCATCACTGAAGGGGAATCAGTTTCAGTAAAACAATATTTAAAATGTCAGAAAAAGGTAAGCTAACAGATATTATACCTCATACTAGTTCTGACCAGCCAATGTACTCTATCTACTGTAAATCATATTCTTTAGATGATATTAGGGTACTTCAATATAGCTGGGTGCTACTGCTCCACCTGTATAGAATGTGTGAGTACTATATGAGAAGATTAATAAATTAAGTTGAGTTTTATTTCTAAAGGGCCAGTCTTACTCATCCTACTTGCATGATTCAGATCCAGTCAACAGGACCATTTGAGTGAGTAAGGCAAACACAGTTTGGCCCAAAGGTGCAAATAAAATGAGAAATGTGGAAAATATTTAAAAACCAGCTAAGCAAAATTTATATGCATTATCTTGCAAATAATATAATAAGCCTAAACAATGCAAGATACAAGACATTCAGGGCTAGCCACAGAAAAAAATGAGAAAGATTAAAAAAGAGAATTAGGAGAGTGCTAAAAAATAAATAATCACTGTTTTAAGAAACAACAAGGAGTCTGGTGGCACCTTAAAGACTAACAGATTTATTTGGGTATAAGCTTT